CTCCAGCCGGGTCCCCTTGCCCCAGCACAATGGACAGCAGGAGCCCCCAGCTGGGAGGAAGGGCCCCCCTATGCAGGAGGTGGACCAGGACTCTGAGGACGACATTGAAGATGACAGTGACGAGGAAGCAGAGGAAGCCCCCAGGCGCCAGTGGCAAGGGATTGAGGCAATCTTTGAAGCTTACCAGGAACACATAGAAGGTAGGGATTTGTGGGGAGGGATGATCAGCAAGTCTGGTCCACACTGGAGCCTTGCTAGTCAGGGGCTGTTTGAGTCGTTGTGCGGAGACATTGGTTTTCCTGCAGGGCAAGCATAAGGTATGGCCCTAGCCCTGAGGCCCTGCTCAAGGGGGGGTGGCAGAATGCAGCTGACTTGTACACATAGCAAAGCTCTGGCCAGTCCTGATTACCATGCTTGTGAGCCCACACTGAAGGAGTTTAGACACTTTGCAGCTCACTTTACCCCTAGATGCTTTTCCTGAAAGCAGCCTGAGTCACACACCTCAGCACACCCAAACTGCTCTCATTTGTACCCAGCTCCCCAGTGTCCAGAGACTACTCCAGTGCACTGCCTTTGGCCTCAGCTACTTATCAGTTACTTCCTCCTGTATCTTACGCTTTTTTATTTGGCACATGACCAAGCTGTAAACATTGCATATGCTTGCTACTGCACCCCCTTGAAAGGTATTTTTGGAACAAATACTGACACACAGGTAGCCGGAGCCCCTTCCCAAGCGGCCGCCTTTCCCCCCTGCCCTCATTTTGGGATTATTGGGTTCACTGTGCGCTGCTCTAAGGCATGTAGAAACAGGGCTCAGTAGCATCGCAAATGGTTTGGAGTAGAGGGAAATGTGGGGTCTACAGGGCTTTTGAAGGCTCTTGGGATACTTCCCTGTGTCTGGCAGAAGCTCCCTTATGGCACCACTCTGGCTGTCCTTAGCAGCTGCATGAATCTCGGGGTCTTGTTAACTGACTCCCTGACAATAACTGTGTGAGGGTTTCCCTCTCTCCACTTGGGACCGGAGAACTAGCCCTCCAACTCAACAGTTCAGTCCCGTGACAACACAAGCCTAACTCTGGGGCTTGAGCTTTGCCACATGGTTGTGCTAACCCCGGTAACAGGTGGGGTCCTCGTTTTCCATTGTCATTGTGCCACCTGGGACCTGGGTGGTGGGGCTCTTGTCCTGCTTGTGAAACTTGAGACAACCTAAGCTTTTCCTCTGCAGGCTGTTTCCCTTCTTGAGCTGACTTTTCCTACTCTGGTTGCTCCACCATTAATGACAGCTTGTTATCAGGATCATTTTAGCTTTGGAGAGATGCACACGCTGGCCCTTTTCTAATAGCCTCAGCTCTCACACCACCATCGCCAGCAACTTGGTGTGAAGTCCATCTGAAAGCCGTTAGTTTAGTTTCCCCGGACTCTAACCTTGCCTTCTGACTCCAGGTTTTCCCCACCGCACTGGAGTGGCTGTTTTGACTTGTTAGTTGGTGCAGCTGAAGACACAGAGCCTCATATAGAGCTGATGGATGCATCCCCTCCTCTTGTCTTTTCAGAGCAAAACCTGGAGCGGCAGGTGTTGCAGACACAGTGCCGGCGGCTGGAGGCCCAGAATTACAGCCTCAGCCTGACTGCCGAGCAGCTCTCACACAGCATGGCGGTGAGTCAGGCATGGGCTCTTTACAGGCACCCCCAGAGAGGAGAAGTCTGCTCTCAAGAAATCAAAGCTAATGCCAGACATGGCAGCACATGCTTTAATCCCAGGAGGCAGGCAGATCTGTGACTGTGAGGCCAGCCTGGGCCACACAGTGAGATTCTACTTTAGAAATATGGAATAAAAAGATCTGCGGGGCGGTGGTGGTGGCGCACACCTTTAATCCCAGCACTTGGGATGCAGAGGCAGGTGGGTCTAGCTGAGTCGAAGGCTGCCTGGTCTATAAAGTGATTTCTAGGACAGCCAAGGCTACACACACACACAAAGCTCTTGTGGCAGTGAGGTGTCTCCCACCCTCAGAGGGACATGCACAAGGCTGGTCAGACCTGGCCGGCATCCAGAGTTTGAGCCATGTCAGCATAAAGCAGTACACGCTGGTTCTTTAGGAGCACATGTTGCTGGAAGAATATTCTAGCAATCCCCAGGTCACTCACTCACTCTGGTGTATGTACCAATGGTGTTCTGACGTACATCTTCTCCACAGGAGCTTCGGAGTCAGAAACAGAAGATGGTCTCGGAGCGGGAGCGGCTCCAGGCGGAGCTGGACCACTTACGGAAGTGCCTTGCTTTGCCCACCATGCACTGGCCTAGGGGCTACTTTAAGGGATATCCGAGGTGACGATTTCCCTTGCACTAGGCTGAACCTATAGCATAGAAATATTATCTATTTTATTACCTTGAATATTTAATATTTTTCACTGGGAGGTTTGAAGCTTACAAATTGAGAACGTGCCATGCATGAAGCGAAGAATTCCAGGCTCCAGCGAGGACGTCACCTTGACTCCAGTGTGATCGAGTCACCCTGTCTCAACTAAGACTCAGTTTCTCTTTCTGATGGCGGTTTATTCCTTCTCCCCCCACATTCTTTGTATCCAGTACTGATGCCCACCATGCATGTGGCTGAGGGAGAGCCAGTCGGTTGTTTCTGGTGTTGCTGTGCCAAGAGCCCAGCTCGCTCTTGCTACGGCCCTAGGAGTGTTAACCCCTTCCTCCCAGGAGGAAGACTAACTTGCGCTGAGAAGGCCTTGGGTGTACACAAGCAAAGGGCTCACGATCAGTCACCTTCCTGCGCCATCGTCAAAGCCACAGGTCCCAGGAGCATGCAAGCCAGTCAAGGCTTCAACCTGGAACAGCTCTTAGGAAAAGAGGCAAACCCACACCCGAAGGTACCTTGTTTTCCTTGGGGAAGACGGGTGGAGCTGTCCACTGATAGCCCACCGACTGGATTGCTACCGCTGTGTGGCGTTTTCATACAAACATGTTTTGAGAGAAAAGTCAAAGGTGCTTCAGCCTTGTACTGTGTATATATTAAAAAAAAAAGTTTTGTATGTTTTTATTACTTTAATTATTGTTATAAAAAGCCTGCCATTTTTAATATGTGGTTTGGGGAATTTTGTTTGTTTTTCCTGTTTGGGGGTTTCCTTTGTTTTTCTCGTTTTTGTTTTTTCTGGTTAAAAAAAACAACCTGCTTCTAGTGTTTGTGCTGCTGCTGGTCAGGACATTAAAATGCTGAAGTTCCTTTTAGAAAATAGAAGAGCTCACCTGTATCATCCCACATGGCAGGGCTGAGGGGCACCTGGGGCTGGGCTAGTTGTGTTCAGAGCATGAGTGACCCACATGCAGCAGGAGCTTGAGGCAGAGCTGTGGGAGCTGAGCTGTGACAGCACAGCCATGGCAGAGAGCTCGGTACCAGGGATCTCCCAGCTTAACTCCTCAGTCAGGGTTGGCCAACTAAGAGAACCTCTTCCACTCCGCGGAGGATGGGGAGGGGAGGCTGAGCCTACCTTTTGCCACCAGGCTTAATGGTTGTATAAAGCAGCTTGCCGGCAGCCCCTGCCTGCCCGCCCCCTGCAGTTTGCTGTCTCCCTGCCAAGAATCTTCTAGTTAGTAGCAAACCCAGAGAAGAAAGTGCCACCAGTATTGTCAGCCGTCAACAAGTGCGGCTTGGCACAGGAGCAGCAGGTGGGGGGTGCTGAGGTCTCTGTCCTACACCAACTGAAGACGGGCTCAGGTGAGCAGAGGCTGCATGCCCTGGGACAAAGTTACCGAGCTCCTAACTAGATGCTGCTTGCGCTCACCTTAGTGTTCCTGTCCCAGTCCAAACTCCACACCGATGACCGGAAGCTTTTGCTAATCTGCTTGGTAATGGCTTTGGGAAAAGTAGACCCCATAACTTAAGGCGCACATACAGCCCCCTTCTCCTTATCTCACAGGAATTCCCCTGAATGAGTGTGTGACCCAATGCAAGAGATAACCTCCCAGGTGGGCCTGGGGCACAAGCTGAGCCACTGACCTGGCAATGCCTATGTCCCTTCCAAACGCCCTGGCCTGCCTGTGGAGCCCTGAATATTCTCATGCTCACAAGTAAAGTGACAATCAGAACCAGGTACAAGCCAGTAAGGTGGCAGGCAAGTATGCCACTCATACCACACACACGTGGTTCTCCCATCCCATATAGTCTGAGACACTGATGAAGGTAAAAACACAGCACACCCGTCCAGGTACCACACATAGTCCCCGGCAGCCTCTCCCAATCTTTTCCCACAACAGATCTGCTCTAGGATGGATGGACTAGAAAATTACTACGTACCTGGGAATCCTAGTCCTTGACCGTATCTTCCTACTTCACCTTCAAGGGATAGCTGCCATCTCTCCTGGCTGAGAATTCACCAAGCTTGTGATGAACCAGTCCAGTGTTAGATCCCATGGCTCCGTGTTTCATCAGATCAGATTTGTTCCACATCATCAGAGCCAAACTGGTAAGGCCTGCCATCATCCCAGATGAGGAAGCTAGGACTGTCAACACTTAATGGCTAGGTACCCAGAGGAGCACTGCCCTACGAGTGGGGAATTGCAGCCATGCTCACAGCACTGCCAAATATCAGTTAAACTGAACTGCAAACTAGATGCCTCCCACCCCTGCCCCCACGTCCAGAACCCAGCATGGAGATGGCCCGCACAGCAGGCTCAGCACCTCCCAGGTGTGCGCTAGCCACTCAGCAGCCGGCTGTGCTCTTTCAAGTACTCAAGCTTTGACTTCACTACTTGCCGTAGCCCGTCCCCACTGTCTAATCCAGTGCTTAACTTCAACCCTAGAGGCTGCCTTGACCCGAGGAGGCATCTCACTAGTTTTGTACTTGTGTGTGCCCTACGCCTCGCTGCTGGGGCGGTGGACCCTGGCAGGAGGGAGGACAGGTGCCTCGGTCACTCTGGGGGCAGTTTAGATGCTGTGAAATTAAACCCGTTCTAAGTGTACTTGTTTGAATTAACTGTATTGTAATATTATTTGTTGAATGTAGTAATTAGGTATTTATGAATATATTGCTGTAATTTCTGACAACATCCCAAAAATAAAATCTTCCTAAATCATGTTAAGAGGAAAACCTTTTTATATTAGTGCCACCACCCAGCCCTCCCCCCAGTTCTCAACTACACAGCTCTCACAGGTCAAACTTGAAGACGCTGAACTTAACTGAACACTTGCTGTGCATGGCATGCGCAGGAGTCCGTGCTCATTCCAGAAGTCCTGGGCCACAGACGGGGAAGCTGGTGGCTTCTACAGCGATGGAAGCTGAGCTTTAGGCAAGCCGAGTTCCTCCACCCGTGTCCACACCCATCTCTCCAGAGCCTCTTCAGTCGAGCTAGAAGTCCTAAGACTGTGTACTCTCGGAGGGCTGGAGGTTTGTGCGGAGTTTGTACATGTGATTAAGTGCCTGGGTGAGGAAGGCCCCACTGCTGTTGATCTCCATCAGGGTCAGGTTATCCAGCTGAAACAAAAAACCAGTGAGCAGAGGAGGTTTGGACTTCAGAAAACTAATCTCACTGAGCAGACGCTTGTAAGCCAATGAGTTGTGTACTCCTGGGTGTGAGGGTGAAGCTCAAAAGCCTGTGTGCACCAGGCCGGCTCTCCAAGAGCCATATCCCGAGTCCCCATGAGTTATTATTCAAAGCAGCTTCAAATCCCTGTTTACATGGCTGAGCAGGCAGAATGCCCTGACAACTCCCTGGAAGCATTCACACTGGCTGGCAGTGCCCACTGGCACTGGGCGGGGACAGGAAAGCCATGCCTACCTTGGCGTGTGCCTCCTGCTGTCGCACAAAGCTGTCAGCAGACACCCGGAGCTTGGCCATGCGTGTGTCCCACAGATCTTTGATCAGTGTCCGGATGGTGTCTGCCTTGGGAATGTTGTCGGAAGCACTGAGGAAAACATAGACACACAGCACTGAGGATACATAAGACACACAGCACTGAGGATACATAAGACACACAGCACTGAGGATAACATAGACACACAGCACTGAGGATAACAGACACACAGCACTGAGGATAACATAGACACACAGCACTGAGGAGAACAGACACACAGCACTGAGGATAACATAGACGCACAGCACTGAAGATAACACACAGTACTGAAGATACAGACACACAGGCAAAACAGATAGGAGCACTTGGTGAGCTTGCCCAACACAGGCACAATGGCTGCTTTAAAACCAAAGCTTGCGGCCCCAAACAGCTCAGCAGTTAGTGCTTGCTGCTCTTCCCGAGGATTCCAGTTGTGTTGCTGGCATCCATCAGGCAGCTCACAACTGCTTATAAACCATAGGCCACAAACACCTGTGACAGACAGCCACACGTGTAGATAAACAAAGCTTGAGCCAGGTATGGTAGCACATGGCTGTAACCCTAGCACTCAGAGAAGGCTGAGGCAGGAGAACCAGAAGTTGAAAGCTGGGATATACAGCTAGAGACTCTGTTTCAAGGTGAGAAGGAAAAAAAAAAAAAAAAAAGCCTTGCATGGACCTGGGAGAGTATTGGGCTCTGTTCTTTCCTTGAGGGTTGGGATGTCAGCAGGTAAGCTTGGTACCCAGTGTTTCCATTCATTCTCACTGTCCATGTCCAGTGGCTATACACAATGACAGATCTGACAAAGCAAAATGCTGAGAGCCAGAAGTGGTGACTACTCCCAGCACTTGGGAGGCTGAGACAGGAGAATACCTGGTCACGGAGTAGAGTGTGCGAATCCAAACCAACAACACAGGCTACAGATGGCTCAGTAATCAGCACACACTGCCCTTGAAGGGTATACAGTTTGGTTCCTAGCACCCATGCCCGATGGGTCAAAACGACCTCTAACCCCAGCTCCAAGGGATCCCACACCTCTGGCCTGAGGACACTGACCTGCACTCACATGCACATACCGACACGTAGACACATAAAGATAAATCTTCAAAACGATAACACATTGGAGGTGCTAGAGAAGGCTAGCAGTTAAGAGCACTTGGTGCTCCTGCAAAGGGCTCAATCAGTTCCCAGACACCTATGTGGGATGGCTAGACTCCCTGTAATTCCAGCTCTGGAAGATCCAATACTCTCTTCCTGTCTCCTTGCAGCTGCACTGACATGCACATGCCCCACACAGACATATACACACATGTAATTAAAAAATAGAGCTGGGCGGTGGTGGCGCAAGCCTTTAATCCCAGCACTTGGGGAGGCAGAGGCAGGTGGATCTCTGTGAGTTCGAGGCCAGTCTGGTCTGCAGGTGAGTTCCCGTAAACCCTGTCACGAAAAGCAAACAAACAAAAAAGAATAGTGGAAAATTGGGCTGGGGACACTTCCTTTAGGTAACAACATTCTGTGCTATGTAACTTTATCTCAAGCTGGCTCAGGTCAGCAGATCCCCTGTTTTTACCAGTGACATAACCTCACTACCCAGCACCACAGGGGAAGAAAAGGGCAAGCTTTGTGCTAAGCCCTTTAAGTGCTCACAAAAGGCAGAGAAACGGGACTGCCACTGTGGGGAGCACAGGTTACGAAAACCGCAGAGTAGCGGGTGTCTGCAGAGTTTAAGGTCGCAGTTAGTAACAACTTTCCTTTACGACATACTAGAAGCCAACCTTTGAAGAAAGAAGCTCACACAAGACAGAGGCAAGGGGACTCTTGTAGCCCATCACTAGGGGTTCTCCCCAGCCTGTCAACACAGGAGTAGCAGGCAGGTCTGTGGTATAGAATGATGAACATACATGTTCAGATCTGAGTGGTGGTGGCGCACACCTTTAATCCCAGCACACAGTGGGGGTGGGGGTGGGCACAGAGGCAGGCAGATCTCTGTGAGTTTGAGCCCAGCCTGGTCTGGTCTGACTGGCTCCATAGCTACTGAGAAATTCTGCCTCAAAAACAAAACAAAACAAAACAAAAAAAAACCCCTCCAGATCCTTATCAACTACCAAACAAAGTAAAACTGGTCCCCAGACCATCGAGATGGCTCAACAGGTAAAGGTATCAGTGGCTAAGCCTGGCAACCTGAGTTCAGACTCTGGAGCCAGTTCCTGAAAGTTGTCCTCTGACCTCCATATGCACTGCATACCATGCCATACACAGGTATCCACAAAATAAATGTTTTTTTACATTTTTATTTATATTCATTCATTCATTTTTTTCTCCAGACAGGGTATCTCTGTGTAGCCCTGGTTGTCTAGGAACTCTGTACACCAGGCTAGCCTTGAACTCAGAAATCTGCCTGCCTCTGCCTCTGAGTGCTGGGATTTAAGGTGTGTACCATCACCACCAAGCTGAAAAAATGTTAATTGGGTTTCTTAACTAAATAAATTACACAGTAAGGCTTTGGTTTTTGTTGTTGTTTTAAAAGACATGGTCTTCCTGTATAGCTCTGGGTGGCCTGGAACTCCTAAAGTAGACCAAACTGGCATTCCGAGATCCATCTGTCTCTACCCTCCACCCCTACACAGTGATGGGATTAAAAGTGTACTACCATACTCGGACAACAATAAGGTTCTTGGCAGAGTAGAATACAACAGAACGTCAAGAAAAAGTTCTCTATACTGGTAGCACCAGCCTGGTTCCAAGCCTTGCTCCTCTGGGACAGTCTGCTGCTCTCCTCACGCTTGTGTTCCTTCAGTGCCTTCTCTGGCCCCACCAGGCCCTGCTATGCCCCAAGGACTCCCACAGGCCCTGACTGTGACCAGTTCACAGGGTCACGTTTCCCTACCCAAAGGGGAACTCAGACCATGTGACCATGTTTAGAACAGTAAGTATATTGTTTGTTTGCTTTTTTTTTTTTTTTTTTTTTTTTTTTTGGTTTTTCGAGACAGGGTTTCTCTGTGGCTTTGGAGCCTGTCCTGGAACTAGCTCTGTAGATCAGGCTGGTCTTGAACTCACAGAGATCCGTCTGTCTCTGCCTCCCAAGTGCTGCGATTAAAGGCGTGTGCCACCACCGCCCAGCCAGTAAATATACTGTTGTAGGAAGGAATAGGTGACCTACAGCCACCCATCCCTCTTGAGTTCACCTTTGGACATGCGGTGACACAGTTCCCTACTGCCCAGCCGATCTAAGAGGGCGGCACAGTTCTGGTCTTGGTGCCAGATCTGCTTTTGAACCTGCTGAAAGGTGCGGTCCAGCTGGAGGCTCATTACGTTAGGTTCAGGCACCCACCGCTTTCATTCAACAAACCTTCATGAAGCCCGTGTGGGGACAGTCCCTGCCTGTCTAGTACAGGCTGCATAATGGCACAGCCGGACAGCAGACGACAAAACTGCCCTGGAGCAAATGCCAGAACAGAGTGCTGCAGACACGGTGCTAGGCCAGGAGCTAGGGCAGTAGGACCACTAAAGCCCAGAGTTGAGAACCAAAGTATGCAATATAGCAATACCCCATTATCTGACAAGCAAACCTGTTCTGCCGAAGATCCAGTGGGAGCATAAACCTACAGACACAGAGCTGTGAGAGGGGCGACAACGCCTGCCAGCTGTGACCGCTGTGAGCACTGACCTGAAACAAGCTAGAAGCTGCAGACAGGCAGCACCAAGCAGAAGACAGACAGCTGGGGCAGATGTGGACACACAAACCCAGAACTTGCAGGGCACATCTCTATAGCTCAAGACCAAGGCCCACATGAGGCCCTTGGCCACTCCTGTGACAGACGCAGACACCGACACAGGGAACCCGGATGCACACACTTCCGGGCAAAGCTGGACTAAACAAAGCATGCACACTGACAGGCCTGGACATACAGAATCCAAGGCGGGGAGAGAAGGAACAGAAGAGAACAGAAAGATAGCCTCATCACCCTGCATAGAGACACCTCTCCAGGTCACCTAGGTGAGAAACTGGGTGGCTGGGCCACCATGGGAATGGGTATGAAGAGAGGGCGAGAATCCGAGTCCACAGAGGGCATGCACAGCCTTGTGCGCTGACTCACTGATTGAGCAGGAGCTTGGTGATCTCCATGTAGTGCGGGCTGGGCACTGGGGTGAATGTCTCCTCCTTCCGCTCCTGATCTCGCATCTGCTCCAATTTCTCTGAAACGCAGAGGTCAATGTGCTTCACCAACACCATAACAAAGAGAAGACATGTGTTCTTTTGTTTCTCAAGACAGCGTTTCTCTGTGTAGCCCTGGCTGTCCTGGCATTTGCTCTGTAGATGAGGCTGGCCTTGAACTCAGAAATCCATCTGCTTCTGCCTCCAGAGTTCTGGGATTAAGGGCATGCATCACTACTCCTGGCTGAAAAAAAGTTTGCTTTCTTTTATTTATTTATGTATATGAGTGTTCTGTCTGCATGTATGCCTGCACGCCAGAAGAGAGCATCAGGTCCCATTATAGATGGTTGTGAGTCACCATGTGGTTGCTGGGAATTGAACTCAGGTTCTCTGGAAGAGCAGCTAATATTCTTAGTCACTGAGCCATCTCTCCAGTCCCAAGAAAACTTTTTATTTTTTATTTTTATTTTTTTCAAGGCAGGGTTTCCCTGTGCAACAGCCCTAACTGTCCTGGAACTCGCTCTGTAGACCAAGCTGGCTTTGAACTCACAGAGATTCGCCTGCCTCTGCCTCCCAAGTACTGGGATTAAAGGCATGCGCCACTACCACCTGGTAGAAAAACACTTGTAATCTTACAATTTGCCCAGGTGCTGGTACTGCCTACATGGCCGATAAGCAACTACACTGCATACAAATGAGGTGGGATATTCCTATCTTAGATGAGACGCATTGCAAGCGCTGCTCGGGAAGAACAGAGTCTGATGTCACCACTACCCCTGAACCTCCTGATCTATCTGCCTTCTACTCACGTCTGTAGCCAATGACCTGTGACCTCTCAGTGCTGGAGTCCAGAGCTCCACAGGTGAGTCCTTGCCACACCCTAGGCTCACACTCCAGCCATCTCGTTCTGCCCAAGTGGAGACCCGAAACTCCTGGAGGACTTCCCCAACTCCTGCCTCTATGTCCCACTGTTCACATGAAGGACTTCCACCTGGACAGCTATCCAGCACCCCTAAAATGGTGGGCTCAGACTACAACATACCCTGGGCCCCCTCACTGCCCTGTGTTCTGCCAACCTCACAAAACATCTAAGCAGAGCTGAGCCTCAAGCCGCAGCTGGGCATGTCTTAGCACCAGCTCTTAGGGTTAGGGAAGAGCTGGTGCTCCACACAGACATCAGTAAAGCCTGCTACTGCTCCCTTGAAAGCACCCAGGCCAGCTGCAAGCAGCCTCACCACACAGCCATGAAAGCAATGATATGATTTTTCCTGCACACCTCACACATGCCAGGCAGGCGGTCCACTACTGGACTGGACCCGCTGCACGGGATTAGTTTTCCTTCTACCTTTGAGTCAGATAAACACATCTGTGCAGTGTCTTCACCACTCAGACTGGCGATGCCAACCCTCTGGCCAGGATGTGGGACAATGTGATCTCATCTACATTTCCCAGGGATCCTAAAGTTGTAAACTAACTGCTGCTTATCACTTCAGATCATTTGTCCTGTGGCCCAAGTCCCCAACATGCAGTATCTGTCTGCCTAAGGAAAACAAGCGTGCGGCAGAGCAGACACCTGTAACCCAGCAACATGGGAGGTGGGGACCCATTCTCAACTACATAGCAAGGAGGGAGCAGCCTGGGCTCCATGAGACCCTGTCCCAACAAGTCAAAGAGCAACACCTATCTACTGAAAGACTCAGACAAGAAAATTCCAACAGTCTCATTCAAAATCATAAAAAATGGGAATGCCCTGGAGACTGGCGAGATGGCTCAGTAGATGAAGGTGCCTGTTGCAAGGCTGACGAAGGTGGACACAGGAAGGGCACAACTGACTCAACAAGTTGTCCACGGCACACGTGCTCACACACAAACACAATGACGACTTTTAAAACTGGGAAATGGGCTGAGGAGACGGCTCAGCAATTAAGAGCACTTGCTGCTCTTCCAGAGGACTTGGGTCTGGACCCCAGCACTCATGCAGCAGCTCTGAACCCCACTTCCGGGGATCAGATAAACTCCTGTGGCCTCTAAAGGCACTGCATGCATGTGGCACACATGACCCACACATATAAAATAAAAATAAAGATGTATAAATGGCAAGTAACCCAAATGCCCACCCGCAGACCGGGCGAGCAGATGCAGAGTACTCACACAAGGGAGCAGCTAGGCAGGAGACAAGGTACATGTGGCCATGGGGCCATCTGCAAGCCACACACCCACAAGAGAAGTCAGAGAAGCATGGCACATGATGTCATTCTATGAATGTGAAGTCCCAGAGCAGACAGGCCTCCTGCACAGGCTACCCAAACCAGCACCATCTGATTGCCCCTCACCTGGACAGCAAAAGCACAGAACTCTGCCCACCTCTCTGACTTTGGGCCTGGGCCAGCTGAAACCAGTAATGAGTCTCTAACAGATTCACACACAGAGGGGCTAAAGTTGCCCCCTGAGGCACAGGAACTGGGGTCTCCAGTTTCAGGACTGTGAGTCATCCACTCCTTTACACGGGGAACAAGAGGCCTAAATTCAAACACATCTCTCTACCTGGGAGCGACTGGCTTAAACAGTCTGCTCGCATTTGCTTTCCTTTGCCACGATGAACACCATGACCAAAAACAAACTGGGGATGAATAGGTTTATTTGGCTCACTGATCAAAGTCCACCATGGAGGGAAGTCAGGGTAGGGACTCAAACAGGAACCACGAGGGAAAACTATTCATTGGCTGGCTCAGTTTGCTTGCTTACACAGCCCAGGACCACCTGCCTAGGGGTGGCACGGCCCGCCCACCGTGGACTGGGCCCTCCGGCATGCATCAACACATTGCCCGACACACATGCCCACAGGCCAATCTAATGGAGCTGATGTCTCCATTGAGGGCGCTTGTTTCCAGGTGTGTCTGTTGAACTGACAACAAAACTGACCGTGACTAAGCTTTTTTCTAGGTCTTCTCAGCTGCCTCCAATCAACACGTGATGCACAACCTCTCTCCCACCAAAAAACAAGACCAAGAAAGACTGCAAAGGCTCATGAATGTCTTCTTTCATTTTTTTCTAACATCTTCAGAGACATCGTTAATCTACCATTATACTTCTGAATCAAACTGTGCAAAGGGCTTTTAATAAAGAGTTGTGCAACCATCAATTTAATCTCATTATCAACTCCCCCCCCAAAAAAACCCCATAACTCCTCCATCACTTCCCCAGCCACCATTACCTAAGCAGTCACTATTCCGTGCCTGTGGTTCTATTTCTGACTGCCTACATAAACAGAATCATACGATCTGTAGTCTGCTGTGCCTGGCTTTTTTATTCAACATCCTATTTTCCAGGTTCATCCACCTTGAAGCATGTATCAGCAGCCCATTCCTTTACACGGCCGAATAATAACCCATTGTAGGGTGCCGGTCCTAATTTGCTTTGCTGTGCTATGATAAACACCATTAATCAAGCTGGGGAGGAAAGGGTTTATCTGGCCGGATGGCAGTCCATCACTGATGGAAGTGAGGGCAGGAACTCAAGCAGGAACAGAAACAGGAGCCATGGAGGAAGGCTGCTTACTGGCTTTCCTGTCCTCTTGTACAACAGCACCACCTGTGTACGGGTAACCATATCAATAGTGGGCTGGGCCTCCCGTGTCAGTCATTAACCAAGGAAACGCCCACAGTCATGCTCACAAGCTGGTCAGATGGAGGTAATTTCTCCGTGGACCTTTCTCAGTGGAGGTTCCATCTTCCCAGGTGACTTGAGTTTGTGTCGATTTGACAAAACTAACTGCACATTTTCACAGTCTTTGTAACAGAATTTCCTAGCACGCTGACACTCAATTAAAACAAAACTTGTCGGATCTCTGTGAGTTCCAAGCGAGCCTGGTCTACAGAGTGAGTTCTAGGATATCAGGGCTACACAGAGAAACTCTGTCTCAAAAAACAAACAACAACAACAACAAAAAAAAAAACTAAGAAAAACTTAAAATGCTTCTTTAAAGTTGAATCTCTGCTCCAGATATAAACTAAAATTTACTATTATTGTATGCTGTCGAGCGCATAGGAAAGTCAGAGAACAGCAGGACCCGGTTCTCTCCTCCCACGGTAGATTTTGGGGATTGGACTCAGGTTCTCAGGCTTTGCTGCAAGTGCCCTTACCCACTGAGCCATCTCGTCGGCCCCACATCTTTGATTTTAAGGCTAGGTAAATATCTAAAATCCAAATAGGAACTAGAAGTATCACAAACACTACACATCAACGAGCCACTGGAACGAGTCGGCTGTCCGGGAACCCGGAACGAGGAAGAAGGCAGATCCAGATACAAGCCCGACCCACCCGGACCCCAGGGAAGCTCACCTACATCCATCCACTCTGGAGGTAGCAGACGGCACTTCTGTCTCTGTTTCAGGTTAATGGCCAGCCACAGGGGCACTTCCACGGGTAAGCCGGGGTTGAAGGGCCCCAGGTCCCCCTGCAAGGACAAGGCAGACCCCAGGTGGAAAGGAGCGGTGACCTGTCCGTGACCCCGCGGCCGCAGCCCCGTCCCGCCCGCCTCACCCCGATCAGGTAGATTTTGTCCAGGCTGAAGTTCGGGATAATGGTCACCAGTTCCTTCTCGGCCAAAAACTCCACCTCGGCGGCGTCCATGGTGAAGAGATCACACATCAGATCCGTTTCCGTCCCTCCGTGTCTCAGAGGTCCAGCCTGGGCCACGGCTTTCCCGCCACGACGCGGTGACCCGCCCCCGACACGCCCACCCTACCGGAAGACGGCCTGCGGCGACCTATAGAGACGTTGCGACCTTCGCAGCCGAGACAAGAATCTGCAGCTGGTACGAGCTCGCGGATTGGTCTGTCAGAGCGCGGCTGCACTCAAGCCCCGCCGAGAACTATAACAGGGCCCCGCCCTTCTCTGGTTCACCCTTTCCTATCCGCAGACTCCAGGCCTCCTTAATCCTGGTTCGGCGGGGTCGTGAGTTAGTTACTCCCCTGATGGCCCAGCGCCCGGGGCATCGCTACCCTCTCCCGGCCCCGCCTTTAGCCCCGTCCCCTCTTCTTCATTGGTCTTCAGTCCTGCCCCCACCCTCCGACCGCACACGACTCCTCCTCCTGCCCGTGTTCATGGCCACGCCCCTACCTTCTTTAGTTGTGCGCGGCCCCGCCTCTTGCCCCGCCCATGTCTCTCCTGTACCCGCCCCTTCCCCTACAGCACCTGCCGCAACCCGCTCCTTTGCAGCCCTCTGCAAGCTCAAGTCACTTGCCTGCCTCCACTCTAAAAGGGTAGAGTTTTGGAGCCTTGTCTTCACCAGCCCTAAACGCAGATACAGAAATAAACACATTCATCCCAAACTCAGCTCCGGAACCTGGGACATGGCTAACTGGTCCACACAGAAACCATCTTTTTTTTTTTTTTTTTTTTTTTTGGTTTTTCGAGACAGGGTTTCTCTGTGGCTTTGGAGCCTGTCCTGGAACTAGCTCTGTAGACCAGGCTGGTCTCGAACTCACAGAGATCCGCCTACCTCTGCCTCCCGAGTGCTGGGATTAAAGCAGAAACCATCTTGAGGGAAGGGTCTTCCGTTTAATTTTACAGTCTTTGCCCTTTCTGAACATGGGTTAATAAAAGCAAAAAATGGGACTTCCCTGTCTGTTCCTGTCTGATCTTTTGGGACAGAGCCCAGAATCAAAGTTGTAGCAAACCAAACAAATGTCAGTCACCTGAGGGGACAATTCTACAAATGTTTTATCATTGCGACTGCAAAAATTGAACCCTACTCCTGAAAAATGCTAAGCACACCCTCTTCTGCCGAGCTACACCTCAGAACCTGATGCCCTCAAGCCCTCTGTACAGTGGACCTAGGTGAGCCAAGAACGCTCAAATCCCTGAAAGTCTCCATGTTACTATGGCGCTGCAGGGAAATTCTGAGTCGAGTCTGGTGAGAAGAGCTGAACTATCCGAAGTCCTGTAAGATAGATGACTCCAGCAGGGTGGCAGCAGATCAGGGTAGCTCACAGGGAGTGGTTAGTCCACAACTGGTAAGGGCAAGAGGGGCTGGACCCAAGTTTGAAACCGGTAGTGATGTTTTGTTTGTAATTTAACAAATAAAGCTTGGGGCTGGAGAGATGGCTCAGAAGTTAAGAGCATTGCCTGCTCTTCCAAAGGTCCTGAGTTCAATTCCCAGCACCACATGGTGGCTCACAACCATCTGTAATGAGGTCTGGTGCCCTCTTCTGGCCTGCAGGCATACACACAGACAGAACATTGTATACATAATAAATAAATATTTAAAAAAATAAAGCTTGCCTGAAGATCAGAGTGCAGAGCTAAGTCACTAGTTAGCCATAGAGGCCAGGCAGTGACACCTTTAATCCCAGCATTTGGGAGACTGAGGCAGACTGATCTCTGTGAGTTCAAGGCCACCCTGGGCTGTGTGAGATTGTTCCAGTTTAAACAAGAAACACCTTTAATCCCAGTACTTGGGAGTCACAGGCCTTTAATGCCAGCACTAGAAAGGTGGAAACAGGAAGGGATATGGCTGGTCAGAAAGGAATATAAGGCAGGAGGAGACAGGAGCTCAGAGGCAGTCTGAGGATGCAGTCAGAGATGCAGTCTGGGGATGCTGTCAGGGTACGCGGTCTGAGAATTCAATGGGAGCATGCAGTCTGAGGATTCAGTTGGGGCACGCGGTCTGAGGATTTGTAGGGAAGGATTTTCCCCTTGCACTGGTAGAGGTAAAGACTCTCTAGTGGCTGCCTCTCTGCTTCTCTGATCCTTCAGCTTTCAGCTCCTAATATCTGACTCTGAGTTTTTATTATTAAGACCAATTAGACCCCCTGAACACAGGTGCCTGGGCAGTATATGGGGCAACTGGCAGTGGGACCAAGACTTAACTCTAATGCATGAGGTTACTTTGCAGAGCCCATTCCTTGCTCAGCCTAGGCACAGGCGGGGGAGGGGTTTTCTTTAGTCCTGCCTCAGTGAGGGGGCTGAGACAGTCATACTTGATTTCCCAAGGGAGGCCTTAACCTCTTTGAAGAGCAGATGGGAGGTAGGGGGAAGGGGGAGAGCAGAAGGAGAAAAAGGGGAATTGGGATTGGTATGTGAAAAAATAATTAATTAATTAAAAAAAAAACAATTAGGATGTGTGTTATGGAAATCCCCACCATTAAGCCCAGGGGTGAGTTGTAATCTGTTTCAGATTTCGGCATTTCAGAGGTGGAAGCAGAAGGGTCTTCAGCTGGGGCCACCCTGAGCCATACAGCATTAACGATCTCAAAACTAAAGAAACCCAAGGACGGGTGCATACCTTTGCAGAGCAGTTACCTCCGGTGTGCAAGGTCCTACTGTAGTGGTTTGAATGAAAATGACTCCCACGGCTCACAGACGTGAAGACTTGGTCCCCTGTTGGGGGAGCTGTTTGGGAAGGATTAGGAGGTGTGGCCTTGTTGGAGGAGGTGTGGTACTAGGGGTGATGATTATGGAAATCCACCACCGCAGATGTAATAAGCCAGTCAAACCAAATTATTAAATCCAGGCTTAATGAACAGAACAAAGCAACTCCTGGGTGACCCTCAGGAGGGCAGGAGAGGAATCACAGGACAAATACGGCTACCAGGTCTTAAGGAGCCCATAGGCATGGTCTTGAGCAGCCCCAAGGAGGAGTTGACATTTGGCAGACTTTCTCAGAGGCAGAGTTTGAAGAGGGAAGCTCCAGGGGCGGGGCCACCGTTTTGTACACTGAGGGTGGGGTTTGGAACAGGAGGAGTGAGACCTGAGCATGGAATGGGGTCCCAAGCTGGAGATCCCAAACAGATGGGCTTTAAGGTTTCAAAAGCCCACATCATCATTCCCAGTGCGCTCTCTTGCGGATAAGGATGGAAGCTCCCAGCTACTACTCCAGCACCATGCCTGGCTACTTGCCGAGGCGCTCTTCTCCGAGATGGTGACAGACTCTAACCTTCAGAAAGTGAACCCCGAATTGAATACTTACTTTTCTAATTTGACTTGTTCATGGTATCTTATCTCAGCAATAGAAAAATAGGCTGTCTGGGTTCCATCCCAGCAAAACACACACATCCACACAGCATAAGGGATGTGCAGTCTGGGTTTCTGTAGCCAGGCAGAAAATTTGCTGCATCTCAACTATGGCCCCTGACTGGGCTGTATCCTGCTCCCTGCAGGGACCTTGAAAAGCTGTAATAAAGCCCTGATCAAGCTCTGCCCACCCCCATGGCTTGGAAGCCTGTCTGCCACTTAGCTGTGTTGGAAGTTGTCCCTCGCAAACCCTCTGTCCCCTCTATGAAGCTATGAATTCATACAACTATTCTCAAAAGAAGTAAAGGTCACTGGACGCTGAGTGATTACTCTGAGCCTCAGTTTCCTCATCTTCTTTGGAGGCTAGAAGAAGCTCAGGGTGCATTCAGAGTGGGAGAAGCCATCAGCCACCTGGACCATGCCAAAACAGAAGCTGCCTCCCGCTCCTGCGGAGTATGTGTGCCAGCTTGTCTGGGTTTTGATTGACAGGGGAGTGTTTTCTTGACTGGCAAATATTTGTGTTCCCAAGTTGGCTGTGCTTCACTTCCTGGTTTGCACAGTCTCTAAAAGAGCAAAGGCAACGAAAGTAATGTGGAGAATGGGGCTGGGAGACAGACAGCAGGGGCTGGGGAGCAGACAGTGGGGCTAGGGAAGCAGACAGTGGGGCTAGGGGAGCAGACAGTGGGGCTAGGGGAGCAGACAGTGGGGCTAGGGGAGCAGACAGTGGGGCTAGGGGAGCAGACAGTGGAGCTAGGGGAGCAGACAGTGGGGCTAGGGGAGCACACAGTGGGACTAGGGAAGCACAGAGTGGGGCTAGGGGAGCACACAGTGGGGCTAGGGGACAGACAGGAGGGCTGGTAGAAGAGCAGGCAGATCTGGTGTCTTTTCCTGTAAGATGGGGGCGGTGCTACTGAGCAGCCCCCAGGCTTTTGGTGGGGCATGGATGAGACTGCGCACACTCTGTGCTCTCCACAGTGGTGGTGCCAGGATGCTTGTTTGTCTCTCTATAGCAGTGAGTTTCCTAACACCCAAAATGCAGGTGTGACCAACTCCTGGCAGCAGATACGCAGGAGAAGAAAGGTGGCTAACCCATGCCAAGGGTAATACTCAGCCCAAAGCAGCTGCTACACACCAAGGCACAGATAAGCCCCCAACATGATGTTGGTTGAACATATGCCTGCAATTCCAGCACACCAGAGCCTGAGGCGGGAGGACTGAGCTGAAAGCCATTCTGGGCTATATAGTAAGTTCCAGACCAGCCTGAGCTATATAGTAATACTGTAAAAACAAAAACACAAAACAATAAGCCTGACATAGTATTGCACATCTTTGGTAACCCCAGCACTGGAGAGGCACAGGCAAGCAGATCTCTGTAAGTTCGAGGCCAGCCCCATCTACACAGAAAGTTCCAGGCCAATCAGGGATACATCATGTGATTCTGCAAAAACAACCAAACGGGTGCTGGAGAGGTGGCCCAGCAGTTAAGAGCACTGGCTGCTCTTCCAAAGGCCCCCGAGTTCAACTTCCTGAAACCACTGGGTGGCTCACAACCATCTGTAATGAGATCTGGCGCCCTCTTCTGGTGCAGGTGTACATGTACACAGAACCCTGTGTACATAGTAAATAAATAAACCTTAAAAAAAAAAATCAAACAAGCACCAAAATCAGGGGCTGGAGAGATGACGGCTCAGCAGTTAGGAGCACTTGTTTTTGTAGATGACCCTGGCTTGACTCCCAGCTCTCACGTGGCTCACAACTGTCTGTAACTCCAGTTCCAGGGAACACAATGCCCTCTTCTGACCTTTGCAGGAACCAGGCTGGCAAGTGGTGCACAGAAATACGTGCAGGCAAAATATCCATGAAAAATACAAATTAATTAAAAAAAAAAGGGTAAATGAACAAACAAAACCCCTCTATGATGCCTCCGTGATGTCTCCACTGATAAAGCGCTTGCCATACAATCATGAGGACC